CGAATCCACCAGATGCTCTGCCGGGGAAGGAGGGACAATCTCCTCCTGTACCAGTCAGATCTGATTTGACGGTACACTCACACAAAAATAATAAAATAAAATTTAAAAAAAGAAAGTGTGTTAGGAATAGGAAAGGTCAGCTGGAAGGGATAAGCAAGGAATCTAATCTCAGGGGGCCAGGGAGGAGATGCTGTCTCAACCAAGATCAGGAAGACAAGTAGGAGTTAGGAAATCAGAGGTGAAGCAGAGAGAGGGACCCTCTGATCAATGGAACAGAAAGAACAAAGATAAAAGAGGTTATGGTGCCTTCCTTCTGGGAAGCAATAGCAGAAGTGACAGTAAAGCTGAAGATAAAGTAAAAGAAGAATGTTTTCTGGGAATAAGCCTGAAACAATGCATTTTCCCCCCACCCCCAGAGGTAAGGACAGGTCTTTGGAGAGTTAAAAAACCATAGATTTGTCTTAAAGAAATCTTTGAAAGATTATAAGCAGAAGATAGATGAGGACAAATTATTGTTGTTGGGTGGCATTGTGTGATTATGACTATGACTTATGTTACCCCATGTAACAGTTCAGACCTTGCCCTACCCTGGACCATTCCCATAGTCTCCACATGTTCAAGCCCATTGTTGGAGTAATTGTGTCGATCCATCTCATCGAAGTTCCTTCTCTCTTTTGCAGACCCTCTGCTTTTCCAGGCATGACGTCTTTCTAAGGACTGGCGTCTCCTGACAACATGACCAAAGTACGTGAGACCATGTTTCCCCTTCTGTAAGCAGCACCCTGGTTGCACTTCCTTCCTGACAGATTTGTTTATTCTTTTGACAGCCCGTGATCTATCCAGTACCCTTCACTAACACAATTCAAACCCATCACGTCTTCTTTGTTCTTCTTTATCCACTGTCCAACTTTCATATACAAGTGAAGCAACTGAAAATACCCTAGTTTGGGTCAGGTGCACCTTAGTCTTTAAATTTATGTCTTTGCTTTTTAATGCTATAAAGAGATCCTTGACAGCAGCTTTGCCCAATACAACAGACTCTTTGATTTCTTGACTGCTACTATCTTGTGTGTTGATCATAGATCCAAGCAAAATGAAATCATTGACAACTTCAGTCTTTTCTCCATTACAACAGGTTAGAATATAATACAAATTATTCGGGCTGTAATATGGAGACGTCCCTGTGCCTCTCCAAGACCAAAACGGAGGATGGAATTCTGATTGGAGAGAATGATGGGAACTAAGTTCCCAGAAGAATCCTGAGGAGCATAAAAGAATTTGGTGATTGCCTGAGGACGGTTTAGAAGAGCCGTAGGTCTATAAACACGTCCACGTTTTCACATTATGAAAGCTATTTCCTTGGTTGAATGGTGGCCCCTTTAAGTGAAACAGGAAATGCTTTGAAGAAGATGGTGAATACACAGGGAAGGAGTGTTCTTCAGCTGCAGGGACTTGCAGAACGTGTCAGTTGCATGGATGCTGTAGGCTGGATCTGGGTGGGGCAGGAGGGACAAGAAAGGTGTAGGCGAGTGACATAGTGATGGGCGGGGCGTAGGCTCGAGCTCCCGCTGACCATGAAAATGGCTGGTCACTGGAGGTCCTAGGCGGAGCTGGTTGGCTGGGAAGAAACATTAAAGGAAATGATGATGTCTACGAAAAATATAAAAAAGAAGAGGATTTAAACCAGAAAAAACGTCTACAGCAGCATCTCCAGAGAGCATTAATCAATAGTCAAGAATTGGGAGATGAGAAAATTCAGATTGTCACACAGATGCTCGAGTTGGTGGAAAATCGAGCAAGACAAATGGAGTTACATTCACAGTGTTTCCAAGATCCTGCAGAGAGTGAAAGAACCTCGGAGAAAGCAAAGATGAATTCCAGCCAACTAGAAAGATCTTCGAGAAGACCCCGAAGACAGAGAACCAGTGAAAGCCGTGATTTATGTCACATGACTAATGGGATTGAAGACTGTGATGATCAGCCACCCAAAGAAAAGAAATCCGAATCAGCCAAGAAAAAGAAACGTTCTAAGGCCAAGCAAGAAAGAGAGGCTTCACCCGTTGAGTTTGCAATAGATCCCAATGAACCTACATACTGTTTGTGTAACCAAGTGTCTTATGGAGAAATGATAGGATGTGACAATGAACAGTGTCCAATTGAATGGTTT